GAGGTAAAAGGTAATTAAGGTACTCTAAAGCAGGGTTTCTCAACTGGTGGGTCGCGACCCAAGGGTGGGTCGCAGACCTGTTCTGGGTGGGTCGCGGACAGCTGGTCAAATTTAAATAATATATAATGTGCTCTCAGGTTGGACTCTTTTTTTATTTTGAAACATTTTTTATTTTTGACAGGCACGGTAACAACAGTTTGTTTGACGTTCATTTTAAGTTTGTGTTGATGTTGGGACGCAAGATGGCAAAAACATGACCCGGAGTATTTAAAATGTGGGTTTTCATACTAGGACTGGACCCGAATAGCCACCTATTGGTTCACTGTGAATACTGAATTATAAGTAAAACTGACCTCATGACCACGGGAACATGTGGGTCCCAGAGTGAGACCAGTTGAGAACCCCTTCTCTAAAGTACTTTTTGTGAGGAGGGGTCCATAGTTTTAGCCTCACTGAGATGGATGTGCTATATTTTTGATCAACAAAAGAAAAAAGGCTGCTTTTATACTTCAATTAAACATGACAAATATAGGAGACTCTCATGTTTAAACATGTGATGCCCTCATATGTATGTATATTTATACCAACACTTGCAAACACACAGGCGCAGACATATTACTCACAATCCAATGTTCTGTATGAAATGTTTCCACAGAAAACCCACAACAGATGCAAATTGTAATTTAGTCGCTGATTCTCTCTCATTAACGTCAAAATTCAGCGCACACACACTCGCACATAAAAATTCACATGGAGGCAGACAGCTACTTTAGCTGGAGTTGGGTTTGTGTGGGCGAACGAGGCAGGGCTCTCACTTTGCTTTAAACAAAGACATCAAGAGTGTCGGTGTCTCCACGTCAAGACTGAAACGATAATTACTGTCATTCAAGCAGAAAGCTCATAGCACAGGCGGGAATTAATGCGCGTTAGCTAGTGACTATGTGTCTCTAAGATAAACTTACACCAGCTGTCTGAGGCTTCATTTCACAAACTGCGACTGTCTTAACGCTTCAATTCGACTGCGTTTTGCCTCTCGGCCACGTCGACGCTCCAGCCACGAGCGCCGTGTGCATCCTAACTGCTCCTTTGAATTTGTACGGCAATTTGTTTATGTTCCCGTCCTGATAAGTTTACAACGGGAGCGGGCAGAGTTTCATTGTTTAGCTTAAGGACACTTTGAAATGCCATACTGTTGAAGAAGGAGCTCCTAAGCTCCCTGGACCAATAATAAACATTTCGCATTAGAATTTTAGGAATTTACCGGCTGCTCGGATGCCTTTGAGTCCATATTTCTGGCAGCAGGAGCATTACTGGCTTTGCATTAAACAATTAGAACACCCTGTCCTGACGGGTAAGACTTGACAGTGAAACAAAAGGCTTTTGACACCACGTTGAACAAATTACCAAAGCTGTTGTTTAGCTTGACGAAAGACCCCAGATGCAATTCCTAAAATTCAAGATACAAATGAGCAGCAAGTTATTCTTAGTCCAATGCTGGCACTAGCTGGTCCACAGAGCTTCCCTTACCAATGGTGCTGCATTGTTGAAACCCAGTCATTAGCCAGATTGGGCTTTTCAGCCTACAACCCAAAAACCACAACTTGACTCTCGTCTAACCGTAACCCCAACAACAGATTAACCTTTGTTGCTCCTCACATTAATGTCAATGTTAATTTAGTACCAGCGTGGGATTATGGGAGTCAACTATGATCTACTGTACAACTAGGTCACAGAGGCCCCGAGAGAGGCCCAGAGCCAAATCCCACCAGGCATTCTTCAGGAGGCAGGGTGGCTTTTAGGTCACTGAGTGCAACCTTTAATCACTCCACTCGCATTAAAAAGCTGCGAGTGTCTTACAAAAAGGTACAGCAGTTTTATGGTACCGTTTGATGGAGTCAGTGTTCGCGGTCTCAGTTTAATAATGCCTAAGGTCCTTTAAAACTCATCGTCTGGCCTGGCTGTGGAGCAGGACATGCTGCACTTCCTTTGTGTACACTTCCATTTAAACCATAAACATGCAATCTGGGGACGCCGTATAACAACCGAGGATAGCGTTTGTGTGGAACAGTATGAGGCCCACGTCTCTGTTTTGCTAAGAGCACATGAAAACTGAAAAGAGAGAGCCACGAGTTCCAGACATCTGTTTCCCCTTCGATGGCCAGAAGTATAGAAAAGCTTTAAAGTGTATCAGGAAAGTTAGAGAAGTAGTTTTGAGGAAAGTTGTCATAAAAACTCGAGGATTTCAACTCAATTTAGTTTCAGGAGATAGCGGACGAGAACAATGATCGGAGTTTCTTCAAGGGTTAGGGTGAGTTTTTACCATCCGATCAAAGTTAGCAAAGCTCACGGCGGAGGCAATTTTTTAAAGGAAAATGAAAGTCTGTCTGGTCGGTGTGAGACGTGCATGCAGCGGGTCAGATTAACTCTTTGAAAGCCCAGGAGCTCCATGCCTATCTGTGAGCGCAGGCTATCGACAGCAAGGGGAAAACACCGAGATGGGAGCGTATTCGGTAGCGATGTATTGTGGAAAATGGAATTTCCTTTATCCCTTTTACAAGGCGTGTGACCTCTGCCCTCTGGGTGGCTCTCTCCTCCTGTTTCTCCATTAGTACATGGAGACAGACCGGCACAAGACACACATAAACGCACACAAAGGCATTTGCAATTTCTCTATAACGCTGCCCTCCACACACACACTCACTGTCCAACAGTCAATATTTTCTGAAGGATGGCCTCCCTCGAGAACTAGCAGGCAATCTGAAGGGGACCCTGCAATGAAAGGGCCCGTGATTGCATTCGACCGTAGCCCTTACAAAGATGTCGTACATCAAATGCCAACAGATAAAAAGCCATCCGCGAAGAGTTAATCAGCAGAGTAGCTTTCATGGCCACACAGCAATTTGTCTCAATATCATGAAAAGAAAACAGGCTCTCATAAAAAAAAAGAAAAAAAAAAGGCACCAATATAAATAAATACATAGCAGCATTTGTGTTTCATGTAGCGCTAAATGTGATGTTATCTCAGACGACTCCATGTCTTCGAATGATGCTGTGCTTTTATCTTACCATTTGACAATATTGCCTGACCTTGACAGGCAGGCAGGTGTGTGTGTGTGTCTTTGTATGTCGGCTTTTGTACACTTGTCTTGTGTGTGTCACTGCACTGACGTCCCTTCCCCTCCTCCCCTCTCACTCAGTTGGGTTTGAGAGCCTGACCAATTTGCATTTTGAGTCACAGTGGAAATGCCTGCATAAGAGGCTGTTGAGCATTTTGCATACTTGCCACCTCATACCTGACAGGAAACACTGGTGTGATTCTTACAGAGTGGCACGCCGGGTGAGAACGAGGCTTAATCACAATAGCTGTTAACCCCTGCCTCTGACCCCCCTCGTATCAGCCACCACATTTCAATCAAATTAATACGCCGGCCCCGGCGAAGCCGGTGAAACAGGCAAAAAAGATCAATGGAGGAACAAGGTATTTAACCTGGGCAAGACGCTTGCCAAATACTCCAAAATGCACAGTGAGCCACTTCAAAGACTTCTGCTTGAATGAGTGTTTCAAGGATTATCCAGCGGAGACTACTGAATCAGAATGCCATTTTAAACTTGCAGTTATATTATGGATTGCAACACGCGCTCAAAATTTCTTTCGGCACCAAAAAAATACGGTTTAAAATGTTGGGGAAGGTTTTGATGTCGACGTTTCTGGACGAAGTATACATCAGGGAAGCTAACAGCATCGAGTTATCTAGATAATCTTGGCGATCTTTTCCCCGAGAAACCTGGCTGTGTGCGATTCCAAAACTGCAGTAATCAATACTGCAGCCTGCACACGTGGAAAACCACCGGCGACAAGCAGGACAGCTGGTAAATAGTGTCACAATATTTAAAATTAAAACTACAGGTTGGTGAAACAACTAAATATGTTGTTGTGCCTTTAACTTCAGGGAAGACAATGTCACGGTGACATTCAGAAAATTATCTCAGCTCCAAACTTACAATAAAACACCAGACTACTATATTTAGATCTATGTTTCAAAGAAGCAATCAAATCGAACCCCATCTTTATTTTGTTTTTTTTTACTCATATTCAGCAATAAACGCAGTAAATCTGCTGTTCCTGTTGGAAACAATGGCCGTTCCTTCTGGTTTGGTATGCCATTCACATCCTAACCTTGCTTCTGCTCTCTTTGGAGCAGTCCATCCACCTTGGCAGTGGACAGGCTCGATTATGTTCAAGGCTGAAACACCCCTGGGGTAAAATTCTTCATCTGTACCTGGAAATCTAGACGGTCGTCGCTTCGCTCTCAGGACACGTCGACCTGGACCGTCACCATCAATTGTGTCAGTCTGCATTGACACAAGCATCTGCCACCATCCATTTACCTACACAATGAAGGCAGGCCGTGTTTATACCGTAAATATGACTGAACGCCGCGTTGGGTTAGCTTCTGGGTTACAAGAAGCAGCAAAAGCACACACTAATGTGAAAATCTGGCTGTTGCTGTTTTAAATGTTACTTGACGCATCAAGTTGCACCGTATAAGTACTGTAAGTTCTATTTTTTTTTGTCCCCTCATGGGCCACCAAGCCGAATACCTGTAAACACTGATTCTGATTTGATATTTCAAAGTCTGATTCTTTGCACTGACACATAAACATGCACATCCTGTCACAGATCCCAAAGGTACCGTGTCCTTGGGAGATCGAAGTTTCGTCAAGCTGTACATCAGACATCTGCTAAGCGCCTCATCATGAAAGTGCCGAGGTTTATTCCCTCGCGTTGCCGTGCCAAGAACAACTGGCAGGCGCCAAGAAACCTTCCACTCTGCCACCAAGGTTAGGTGAATGACAACGCTGAGTTACTGAGACACAAGACGGGGGGGAAGGCGACAGCCAGGGAGGGAATAAAAACAGGGGAGGAA